CTAAGCAAAAGGGTTAAGTTAATTCTGCCCCATTTTATCACCTTTCTTGCCACAGTTGTTAAATGAATCATTGCAGTTAATTTAGTAGCACAGTTCTTAAATGAATCTTGCTTCCCCATTGGCTTTGCTTGTCAGAAGGTCACAAAAAGGGATCACATGTCCCATGTAAAAAGAGAACACCGCTGACAATGCTGCTGCCCTACAAAGTGACCTTGACTATGTGTCAGAATGGTTGCATAATTGGCAACTCCAAATTTCAACTGTCCTACACATTGGCAATGAAAATCAGAACACCAAACACAAGTTGGGCAGAAACAATCTCGTAGACGACCCTCACTCTGTCAAGGACCTAGGAGTATTCATCTCAAACTAACTAAGCCCCAGAGCTCACTGTAACAACATTGACAAAAATCTTATTTTGTGAAGCTTCTTCTCTGGTAACATTTAAATGCTAACTAGGGCAGACCAGTGGTGAATTCAAATTTTTTTACTACCAGTTCTATGGGCGTGGCTTGGTGGGTGGCTGTAAAATCCCCAGTCAGAGATGGGATTTGCTGTTTCTCCGAACTACTCAAAATTTCCGCTACCGGAATACAGCTCATCCACCTGGAACCCACACTGGGGACATTAACACAATTGAGCAGGTTCAGAGGTATTTCTCAAGAAAAATACTCCACTCCTCTACTCACAATAGAATTCCTTATGTCTCTAGGCTTGAAATTTTGGGCTTGGACAATCTGGAACTGGGCCACCTGTGGTCCGATCTAAGCATAGTACACAAAATTGTCTGCTACAATGTCTTGCCTGCCAATGACTTTCAGCTTCAACCACAATAATACAGGGGGGAACAATCAATACAAACTCAAGATAAACTGCTTCAAACTCGATTGCAGAAAATTTGACTTCAGCAACAGAATGGTCAACACCTGGAATGCTCTACTGACTCCATTGTTACAGCCTCAAACCCTCACAGCTTCAATCTCAAACTGTCTACTGTGCACCTCACTCTATTCCTAAGAGGTCCATAAAGGGGACATGCATAAGTGCACTAGCGTGCCTACACTCCCTGTCTTATTGTCCCCATTTATCTGCATTTACTTCCTTTGTTCGTGTTTATGTTCATATCTATACTTATCTTGTACATATTTGACAAACAAATAAAATAAATTAATAAAAATAAAATAGAATACTGCAACTCCCATAAATATGAGTCAGTTGCCAAACATCCAAATTTTGATCACATGACCGTGGGGGTGCTGTAATGGTCATAAGTTTGAAAAAAGGTCATAAGTCACTTTTTTCAGTGTCATAATTTTCAACAGTCACCAAATTAATAGTTCTAAGTCAAGGACTCCTATATGTCAGCAAGATCAGACTACAGTTATCACATTTATCAGGCATTAAAAGTATCAATTAAAATTTCAAGGTTTTCATATATTTTTTTTGAAAATTTTATTTGGGTTTTCACAAAAACAAAATACAAATAAAACATCTTTTTTGAAAATAGCATGGTCCCAGGTTATCACTTCTTCATACAGGCACAAAATTCAATTTCATGCTCATTTTTATATTCTATTCCATATCTTATTACCATTTTATATTTTCTACATAGTTTTTCCCCTCTTTTAATTTTCTCAACTTTGTTTTAATTATCTCATCTCAATTCAAATCATTATATTTATACTTTTGTCTGTCCTGTTTCAATTTCACATTATCTTTTCTTATTAAGCAAATTTTTCCCTGTAGTTACCAATTAGAGTATGACACCTTCATATCCTTTAATTTTATCTATTCAAACTCTTATTTAAGCTTCAATGTATACCTTTAAGATTATAGCATTCAATATAATACATAACTTCAAATCGAGTTCTGCTTGGTACATTCTTAAAATAGAGACTATATTCTTAAAAAGAAAAAATTATATATATAAGTAAATAAAACACACATTCCATTCCAATTCAATTCTATCATTAATATGCATTAAAATCTTAACATCTTTAACATTTCTTTTCAATTAAATATCATACTTCCTTGGGAACACTTATAAACTTTCCATAGTTAATTCTTTTTTTCCATATTTCTCACTTATATTTTTATAAATCATTACTAATAATTAGAAATGTTCCCTTTTAATTCTCTCAGTCATTTTAATTCATTTATTTATTAACAAACATCCCACTACATTACAGTAAATATTTTATCCATCATCATATTTTCTAAAATTATTTCTATTTGTAATATAACAATGCTATCTTATGTACCTTTGCAGAATCCCTTTTGCAATTAAATTTTCACCCATTATCTCTAAACAAGCTTATGGTTACAATCCTTATATCTTTTCTCTGTTTCTCCATTTCTTGTTTCTGTTTTTTACAACTTCTTTTCCTTGCCTTCTTCCCCCTCTTCTTCTCCCTCCCCTTTTTACCCCCTCGTCTCTCTACTTCTAACTCTCTCATCTGTAATCCCCTCTTCTGTTGCTTTCTAATATTATACTTATCTTTCAAATTGTTCTTCTTTTTGGTTGTTTTTTCTAGTCTTAAACCTTTCACTCTCTTTCCCCCCCTTTTCTTTTTTCCCCCCACTTAAAATTATTTGATCATTAAAGAAGGCTGCTTCTTTGTCCCAATCTTCTTATTCTGCAAGCATTTCTTGTTGCTTCTCATAGTTCCAGATCTCCATTTCTAAGAATTGAAACAGGAAGCCATAAGAACTTCTCCCTTCTTGTGCATCTTCTTTCCATTTTTAAAGTTCCGTTTTCAGTTCTTCGAAGAGTGATACCATTTTAAAAACTTTTAAACAACCACCCGGGTAATTTTAGTCATCTAGATGCAAAAACCAAAAATCAGCAAATAATCCAAATAATCCAAGGCTGTTTCTACTTGCTTCTTTTTTCCACTTTCTCTTCCTGGGGTTCTATTATTTTGTTACCAAGTTTCAATTAAAATGTATCTTTGAGGAATCTTGTTAAAATTTCACTGTAAGTTCCTTTTAATTACAGTTCCATTCCTTAATTCCAGGCAGCCTCCTCCATTTTTCCAGATCCTGCCCTTTTATTCTTTTTTTTCCTCCTTTCCTGCTTTTAAAAACTTTTAAATGTCCAGAAATCTTTATTATCCCTTTGGCTTTTATTTTCAGCTTAGATGCCTATTAATGTCAAAGTGAATTTTTTTTCAATTTCTTGCTTAAGTGTCTTAGCAATGAGTATAAGGAAGGGAAGAAAAAAAACCTAATCCTTTCCCTTCTCTCTCTCCTTCGCAGCTTCAAAGTCTTCTTTGGGAACAATGTTGTTAAGTTTAAATTCCAGGGTACCTTATTTGTTGCTTTTGCTGTTTGACCCGGTCAACCAAAATTTTCTCTTCTTATCTTCCTCCTGCACATTCTTTTCCGGTCGAGTTCTTCTTTGTGGTGGCCATTTCTGATCACCGCTACAGCCGCCTTCGGGAAAGGGAGTAATGGCCAGCTGGGGAGGAGAGATGCGGCTCTCCTCAACCCTGCAGGCAGTCTCCCCCCTCTTCACCACCTCTACAGGGTGGCTTAGCCCCAAAACCAGCTGGCTCGGGGCGCTCAGTGGCGAGCATGGATCGAAGCCTCGGAGAGATAAGGTTTCGGTCTGTCGCCGAAGAAGCTCAAACTGGAAGATCCCAGGGTTTTAATATTTTTTTATTAAACATGAAAACACCTTAAATTGAGGAGTCCGATCTCCTGCTCTCTATCTTTGTTTTTCTCAGTATTCACTGTCAGCAGAAATACAACAATAGAGATGGCCCAATGGATTCCTTTTCCTCGCTCTATCTTACCCAAGGTGATGTGAAGGGGTGGGTGGGAAGGGGAAGCTAAGAAAAACTGAATACAGTAGAGTAAAAAGATGCGGAGGAAGAAGTGTAATACAAAGCAAGAGAGAGACAACAAAGAACTATATGAATACTAGAGTATGTATAGTTTCAGTTACATCTATAAGCTTCCAGTTCTATTGTGCTACGTGGGGGATGCACAAATTTAAATTTTCCTTCTCACATAACATACAGCCAGAAAACTAGAAATTTTGAAATTATCAACCAAAAATATTTTCCTAATATAAAGTAAAAATGAAAAAGATATAATAGATTTTCTAAAAAAAAAAACCAAAAACCAAGAAGTTGTTTCAGAAATGTAAATATAATAATTTGAATCGGTTTCAGAAAAGCTATATAAGTTCTAGGGAATGTAAGAAAAATTATTTTAAAATAAAATGTGAATTAACATTTTAAGTAATAAATATGAACTTATATCCTGATTTTAAGTTTTATCACCCATCTATAAGGTTTCTTTGCCTTACTAAATTTTGTCCTAGGTTCAGACATAGGATAACAAATCCATTCTTACTCCCCACATATTAGAGTTGACCTTAAGGTTTTTTAAATTTATCATTTGTTATATAACATCCTAATTCTATCCTAGACAAGATGAATTACACATAAATTTAATTAATAAATAAGTAAATTCACACAACTGTGTCTCAACTAAATAGACCAAGTTGTTTTGCCCCAGCAAATAGTTCCTTTGCTCTTCTTTCTATAGCATACAAACATAATGAATGTATTAAGTTTTTATTTACTCAAAAAATAAATATGAGCTGTAGCATAAATCAGGATCTTAAACAGACCTCAAATTATGAAACATAACAGATAAAAAAAGAAAACAAATTATGACTGATTGAAGATTTCCTAGTTTGTAATCCCCAAAGATGGGTTTTGGGCCAGCAACTGTTCCATTCATATCTCAGCTTTTCTCTTAGGTCTTAAGCCAACATTATGCTCTGCAAATAATTGTCTGAAGACCCTCTTCCCCAGTTTAATATAGCTTTTTACACAAATTAAACAGTGAAGGAAATGAAGAAATAGTAACCTTTTTTGTTAAAAAGAACATTTTTTTAAAAAAAAAATCGAAGTATTTTAACATAAAGTTTATTACATTCACTTATGTAAGCAATAAAATATAAAAACAGAAAGATGAATACTTACTAGATGAACATAAGGTATGAAGTATCCAAATAAAGCAGCTGGAACACCCAGAGCCCAGATTCTATAACTCAGAATTTTGAAAATGGAAAAATTACACATTTCTTTCGCTGGAGGCAATTTGAACTTCCTTTTTTCACTTTGTTTGGTATTAGGCATAAGAGGTTTGTAAGTAAAGCCAGCCAGGAAGAGAATAAATAAAAAAATGCATAGGATTCGAAAAGTTCCATAGAGGCCAAGAGAACGGATCAGTTCATCTAAAACAAAAGGCAGTGTTATAGTAAACAAACTACTCCCAGCGGTAACAATGCCATTCACCAGTCCCAGGCGCTTCTTGAAATACTGTCCCAAAATGACCAGGGATGGTTGATAGCTAAATGAGCAGCCACAGCCAAACAAGATTCCGTAAGTGAAATACAGAGGTCCAAGTGAGCTACAACAAATAGAAAACAGTGTTAACTATGGTCTTTGGCATATTTTCCTTTTTTAATTTTTCAATTTTGTTTTATATTGGCATTTGGATATTGTTAAAAAATCAAAGATAATTTAGTACTTATGATGCTGTCTCTACTCTAAAATATTGCTTGTCAAATCTAAAAGGCTATCTTTTTATAATGTTTACATGAGCCAACTTTTATCCCCAAAATGTAATTTTGCATAGTTCAAACCAACATTATACATTTTTCACATGGATTGCATAATGAAGAAAAATATTTCTTGTGATATGAAAATTATAGTTCTATTATTAGCTTAAAATTGCATTTGACCTTTTCTGCAGTTATATCACACACTGTTGATTCATATTCAGATTCTATTCCCATCATATTTCCTATTTCCTAAAAGAAGAATAGTAACAAGGTGTATGCTACATTTTATTTTATTATTTTCATCCAATTCTTTTAATTTATGAAGATTAAATCAAACTGAATTTTATTTTTGTCTTTCAAGTATGCAATCTCCAAACTTTTGTTTGTATTTTTATTTTTTGTAAAAAAAAAAAAGAGCATCCTCAATTATTTATTTATAAATTACATCCATGGTACTATTACAGTATATTATGCACATAATAAAACATACACCCAAAATATATATCTTAAAAGGATGAGATAAATATAGACATTTTATTTTTTCTTGCAAGCCAATGGATCATTTTGTGCATATCCCATTTTTGAGACCAGTATTCTAGCTGTGCCAGTAAATCCGTATCATTTGTAAATTTGATAAATATACTGCTTATCTCTTCTGTGGGCATATAAAAAAGCATCTTCTGAAACTTTCATTAGCTTTCTGGAAATATCAAGGGAAATTTCACAGCATGATTGAACTGCATGAATAGAAACCATTTCCAGATACTGGAAATGGTAAATGAGGCTGAAAGCAAAACCACGCACCCACTGCACTTCCAGAAGTGATTAACTAAGTAGATAAAGAGAAAATATCTCTACTAAACATTCAGATGGGATATATAAAGTGCTACTGTATGTACCCTTAATGATGCAGGGATGTATAATAGATTTTTTTCCCCAATAATGTACACCATTTTACAACCCTATGCCATTTTACAAACTACTTTGAACAATCTTTTCAAATATGAAAAGGAAGATCTGAATAATTTTGTCTTGAATGAATGGTGTAGAGACTTATGGAGGTAACCTTGAAGGAGGAATACAAGGACAGTTACATAAGCATTAACTTAGCCCTAAAAGAGAAGAAAGTGTGATAAAGAAACTCAAGATTGTCTGGCTTTGATTTGCTTAAGTATAAGATTCAGAGGAGAAAGAGAAAAACTTTTGTGCTTTCAAAATTCTGTTCCTATACACTACAAACATAAAGTAGAGTTCCTGGGATCTGTGTGGAATCTGTTTACCTCAAATCATTGACAAATGGGCAGCAAAGAATTCATAGCTCAAGAGGAATCCATGCAAAATCTCACTATTTTCTTGAATATACAATAATCCCTGGGGTAAGAGGTTTTCTCACTTTTAATACAAAAATAACATAGAGCAATACGAGGAAAGGTTTATTTACAGAGGCCCACTTTACCTCAGAAATGGCTGCTTAAATCATGTTTGATGACAGAACAAATCATGATCGTAAGGGTGCTGTTGGCTAATACTAAGTGCTAGGATAATACTTTAAATATGACATAACTAAAATTACATCATAGTTAAAGTATTATCCTAGCATCCTTAAGATCATGATCTGTTCTGTCATCAAGCATGATTTAAGATCAAGATCATGATCTAATGATAGGAAGTTGGAAGGTTGGGCAGAAGAAATATTAGAGTTGTCAAGGGAGTGCCCTAAATAAACTGCTAGAGGCCAATTGCATTTTGAAAAGTCAATGAAAATTAATATTCTTACCGTACAAAGGAGCTTAAAAGGAGCCCAACGAAAGCCACAGCTGCTCCTACTACAGCTACTTGTCGACAACCAAATATGTTGGTAAATACACTGACAATGGGAGAACAGAAGAAAATCATCCCCATCGATAAAGAATTCACCAATGCTACAGAAAAGATTAAAAATTAAAATTGATTTAGCATGGCAGGTTTGATAATACACAGTGTAATATTTATTCCAGTTTTTAGGTAGCATGGAACAAAACCTGGCAAGCTAATAATTTGTATTTTGAAAAACTTCAAGTGGACTTGAAGTTTAACATTTTAAAAGATAGGAACAGGTATAGACGTGTTTTATATAAATGTGCAAATACTTATATTCATAAAAATATATTGAAAATCACCCTGCGTGTTGGAAGTGGAAAGTATATAGATTATTGTATGTGTATAAATACGTATACAGATAAACCATCATTTGAAAGACTGTTTGTTTTCCATCTTTTTTAATGAGATTTTGACATGACAGAAATAATTTCTTGAGAATAGAAATGGATAGTGTATTATTTCCTACTTGCACAAAGACTGATACTGCAGAGTTTGGAAAAATCCTTTAACAATTACTGAATAACTTTTCTGTCCATATGTCAATAGGCACTTCAGAGACTTTTCTGGAGGATAATTTAGAAACTGAGACTGCAGAGTATAGCAGAACTATTTATAGAAGTTTTTATTGCTGATTTAATTGCTTTTGTAAATAACTATAATTTGATATTAAAATATTCCTTAATAAGATGCTTCTTGTTAAATTAATCTTAAGAGATTAATGCTTTTCATATTTTCCCTTTACATACAATGTTTCATATACAAACACACACACACAAAGACTGGCATATAGAACTTATTTTCTGATTGTGCAAATTGAATAACCATAGGTACAAAAAAAGGGTTTAATATGATTTTACTGGAAGTTGATTAGAAATCATGTAGTCTTGCATTTTATAGATTAGAACGAAGTAATCCTCACTTAACTGATTGCAGTTGGGATCAGTAATTGTCAGTTGCAAGTAATCAGGAACAGGAATTGAGTTCAAAGCATTAGAAGTCTATTACATGCTACCGATACACAAGAGTCTGATCTACTAATTGTCAAACCAAATTGGCGTTAGATAAGGGTCAATGGAGTGAGAACATAATGACTGCAAACTGATGACACCTTTGACCCTACTATCAGGCTTAGTCTGCTCATCTCCTACAGTAATTCTGTCACTAAGCAATGCAGACATACAGTAAAATATCATGTGACCATACCCAGTTTATGATGTTAGTTCCAGCTGCTGCCATTAAGCAAATCACCTTGATCAATAATGTGACCACAACTTGAGATTTCCTGTTGGCTTTCCCATTAACTTTGTTGGAAGCAAGCTGTGAGGTCACAAATGGTGATCCTTGACCACGGGTATACTACAACAGTCATAAATTCAAGAACTAGTCATAAATCTCATTTTCAGTGCAAACGTACCTTTGAATGGTTGTTGAACAAATAGTCAATAAGCAAGGACTACTTGTAGTTTATAGAAAGACTGTGTGAGCTGAGCTGAAATTTGCAATCCACTCCAATATATTATACCTGAACTTACATTGCAAAATTACCATAGGTTAAAACTATGGATGGTGATGATTACTTACAAACAGAACATAATTCTTCATAACATTTTTGAAAGAGAAAATACTTAGCAAATACTTAGTAAAACTTTAGATATAACCTTTATCAACTAATGTTGATTATAGTAACTAAATTAACTATAATTCAAGGGCATGGTAATGAAACAACTTTTTATGGCTTTTTATGGCTTTGAACATGCATATCTGCAAGACTGCCTGCTCCAAACGAAATCTGCCCATTGGATCATCTTCAAAGACCCACAGGCAAATCTTATCTATGGTAGACCTTCTCTTGTGGTACAGCTGGTCCATCATCCATATCAATGTTCTGCAGTGGTATTAATATTCAGATGTTTTATAGAGTAAGATGGGCAGTTTTTCTGAAGCCATGGCTGAATAACTCATTGCAAATAGTTTCAGCTCCAAGGGGGCTATACAATGAAGTCACTGTGGGTAGAGTCAAACACTCTTAATCTTTTTTTTTAAAGGTTTTGAGGGGACAGTGGATATTAAATGCAATGATATTACTATGCTTTGGAAACTTAAAAAGGGTTAACAAAAAAAAAAAGTCTATACCACCCACCCAAAGTCAGAGGTTTTCTGGTACATTTTGGGAGGCAGCAAAAGGTGCCGGATCCCTCTGCCTCCCAACTGCTCCCTCCCAGATTACAATTCTCCTACAGCTATCAATAGAAGGGAAGCAGGGCTCCATCCCTCATATCCAGCTGTATGCTAATGAGCTGAAACTCTGGAATGATGCTGTTTATAAACTTTAACAATCAATCTATCCCCACGAGCTGCAAAACAAATCTCAACTGCAGACTGCATGCTAAGGGTGCGCTTTTAAACCATTAAGATTTTGAACCTCATTAGACTCAAGTATTCCTTTAAAAAGTAATTTAGAGAAAATGAATGGTGTAAAGAGGAAAACATTTGGAGCATACAAATCTTTAGCACCTAAGAATCCTAAAGATACGAGGTCTTTCTTATTTATACTGGTGGTCCTCAGTTAGCAACCACTTATTCAGTGACCATTCAAACTTATGACAGCATTGAACAAGTAGTACTTACAAATAGTCCCCCAAATTCTGGCTAATGGAAAGCTCCTGCAATTATGTCATTGTGATTGGAGTGGTCAGCAACTGAACCACATTTTCAACTTCTGTAATATCTTGCAGTCACATAATCACAATTTGCAAACTTCCAGGTCAACTTTCCACAAAGAAAGTTGATGGGGATTGAAGTCAGCAGGAAGTCAGATCACAGTCACGTGAAGTCCTTGCTTAACAAATAATGGTAATTCACTTGATGATGGCAACCATGGACTGCCAGAACTATCCTTACTAAATGGCAGTCACGTAATACCGTAATATTATGACTAAGTCACTTACTGATGGAAAGTCTGGTCCCAATTACCATCATTAAGGATACTAGTATGCTGTTTCACAGTTTCTAAGACTAAGGGCAAAATGGAATAGAGCATTTACAGATAGGGCCCTCATCTCCTTAAAAAAGTATATCTTTTATTATACTACCTATTCAAGTTTTTTTTTTTACTGCAAGCAATTGAATAGTCTGCTCTTTCAGGAGATCCGGGTATACCAGAAAGTAGCCCACCCAGAATTTTGATTATGTTGGTTGTGAAGTCTGGAAAAGCTGTCATAAAGAGTATAGCAACATCATGCCCACTGGGATAGCTAAATTCTGTCAAGAATGAGTGAATAAATTCCATTGCCTTCTAATGTTTTATTTGTAGAAAAAATAATAAAGACAGTGTAGGCATATTCTGCTGCAAGTTCTATTTAGTGTTAGAATAAATTATTTTCAGATACCACTGTGGAAAATTGTGGATTTTAAATAATGACTTGTATTTGGCGGGGGTGTGAATGTCAATATTCTGATGAATACAAATGTCAATATTCTGATGAATACCTTATTTGGCATTTTAAAGGCTTCTTGCCCTTATGACATTTTTTTAATTTGATGTAGGAAGTCTGTAGTAATTTAAAGTTTTGGACCTGGACTCAAAGGGCCCTCATAAAACAAGTGAGTAATTTTGAAATCAAGTATTCTTTTTTCAGTCTAATTTACTCGGAATAGCCATATCCCATCTCTACACTTGGGGGTGGGTGGAGGGTATGCCAATCTCTACATTTGGGTAAAGGGGTATGCTGGCCAACTTGCTTGGAAAAAGGAAAAAATAAACAGAGATAACAAAGAGGAATGGTAGAAGAGAAGGCAGTCAAGGGAGTTAAGATGTTAAAGTGCAAACTCTTCTCTTCCTTAAAACGTTAAGCAGTTACATCAAGTAGCCCTTCCGCAATGTAGGGGTCCAAATTGAGACAGATCTGTTTGAGTACATTCTTGAAGAAAGAACCAAATGTTCAGAGCAAGCATTCTGCTTGTATTATACAAGTTTACCAAGTTCTTTCCTTTTCTAAAAGATCTTGTTTCTTGCTGCAGGCAAGGAATATAACACACTTGGATTCCATTTTAATCACACTGTACAATTTCTCCTCTTGAGGGAGAAAAAAATTATCTGTCAATGTTACCTATGTCATACATGGTGTTTTAGACACCAGTCAGGTAGAAAACAATACAATAATCAAGAACCATTAAGGAAGAAACCACACCCTATCAAACCTGCAAGCCACCATATATAACCAAACAGCAAACTTCATACTCACCATGACCATGAATGAAATGTCACTAAGCAAGCGAGTGCATAGACAAACAAGCACACAAGATCTTCACATGATTTTATATATTTTGACTTGGCCCTCCCCCAATGGCGTCCAATGTCATTTTTTGTATGGAAGCCATTCTAGTGCCCTTTTCGTTTTGTCCTTTTTTGTACTTGTTCAAGCTCTACATTATCCTTCTTATATCCTTAGTATAATACACAGTAGAGTAAGTAGCTGAAAAGTATACAGCCAAAAAAAAAAAGGAACACAGTGCTGAAGAGTTCCAAAAGACAAAAAAAGAAAGAAACCCTCCAAATTGACCATGTTTGGTACTGTGGGGCCAGGGAGAGAAGTAAAAAAGAAGGATCAGCCTAGAATCGTTACAAATGAATTAAGTCTAGCCCCCCTCACCTTGACTGCTGTTACCATTATCAATTTATAACCAGGTGCTCACTGTTAGTTGAAAAGATTCCTGTGCATAGGCTTTTAGCAATAATTCAGTTAAAGTGAAACTTTATGTAAAGACTTGGTCTTTCATGCCTGACAGAAACATTATTCTAGAAACGCAGTTTCAGAATGACAGAACTGAAGCCTCCAAGTTGGTCTCTACAGCTGGTATATTGAAAGAGTATATTAGACAGATGGGAGTCGGAGGAAGGGATATCATTTTTGACGCAATGTAGACAATTTTTTTCTAGAACTGACTCATGGGTTCTTGCTTCTGTAACTTTCAGGATTTATTATAACATTTGTGTTATGAGTTGATCCTGAAAGAAGCTTGAACTGGTAGAGGAAGTCATAATCAGCCTGTTCTGCTACAATTTAACTGGTTATCATTTTGCTCAAGCTTCCTGAACCAGGGTTTA